GTTTCCGTACCTGGGTGTGGTTTAGGCATTCCTCTCAAATTCCTAGAGCAGGACTCTAATAAGGCATTTAACTGCTCTCCGGTTTATTGCGGTGTTGGGGGATATTTGGGGTTATTGGATAAACTTTATTTGTGGGCTGGGAGCGAACGGCACATTGTGATGGTTGGTGGTAACTGCTTTCTTCCGAATTTAGCTGGACTAGATTTCAGCACATATAATTTGTTAATCTCTCCTGGGCGAGAGGGGCATACCAGAGATTTTTAACCTCATGTCAACTCGCCGAAGACAGAAGAGGACAATAGGGGACAATCATGTGTGGTCCAGCAGGCCGCTGACGTGATAACAGTTCCCAACATTGATAATCTCAAGACATTCCCAAACTGCTGAAGGATCCTGGGCATTTTCAGCAGTTGATTCCACGCATGATTCCACACACATTGCATGGGATCCTTCATAGAATAGTTTCTTAAATCAAGCAGTACTTGATATTTTCAATTTGCGTTGCACATTCAATTTTGAGTATATTTATATATGCAGTGATTATTCCTACAGACACACATGAGCCTGGCCGTAATAAGCTCACAAGCTGAGATGCAAACAGTCTGTTCAGCCAAGATTGTGGATCAAGGGCCTGTTAAATCAGTGCACTTGCAGCATCTCTCCCAAAAACCCAGAGCATAAAATGTTACAATGATGGTTGGTGCTGAAAGTCGGTGCTAAAGCTCCATTTGACCACTGCTGACTCAAACGCGGCTCTGGTCATCTTTGAGTCCAGAGGGGATTTACTCAGTAACCATGGTTGGGAGAGATGTCCTGGTTCCCTTTAATAGCATTAAGGGTTCAAACCGTTAGGGCTGTAATCTAGAGAGAGAAGAGACTCCAGCGCATGCCTTTGATCTCATTGCTTTTGGCTGTTTAAAGTTGACAGTTTAGTTGAATGCCATTCCCTGCTTTCGTTTTGCTACACGAGTTTCAGTGTTGTAAGAATTGCCCTACACCTGTACTTAAAGAATGTACATTGACATGCTTGAGAAACGCATTGATTTTTGAGTTCTATGAAATCCAATCACAAACAAGAGCCAGTGTTGTAAGATCTGTCTCGTGAGGCTTGCATGCAGATGACAGAAACGGTCTGAAAGAAAATAAATACTGGTATTTTTTTTTTCTTAAATGCATTTCTGCATTAAAGCGAGCTTGGATAAGAAAGCTTTGACAAACAGCGTTTATATTATAATGACACTCAGACAGCAGCAGAGTCAGTAATGTACAGCCAGCCTGAAACCCTTCAGATTCTGAATATAAAACAGCACATGAAACTCCACCATGAAATGCGTGCGTGTCTCTTGTTGTTGTTTTGGTTTAAAAGTCTAAAAAAAAATTCCTAGAGTAAAAAAAAAACAAAAACACCGTTAACCTTTGAAATATGCAGATTCCGCACTGTAATCACTTCTCTGCTAAGCTAAGGTTTGCTATTTATATGACAGTAGAAGAGCAGAAAAATAAGAGCTTGCTTAAGAGCATGTGTACTAGTGTACTTTCCATAATTTATAGACATGTGTGTATACATGCACGCATGTCATTGCATACACATGCATAGTATAAGTTTCATCATGCACAGATATAGAGAGAAAATATATTATTATTTATTTAAAAAAATGCATATTTACTTTTTTAGAAACCTGTCTTAAACAGATGAGAACATGCTACAGGTTTCCAGTGAAGCTGCATGGTTTTCTCGCTGTTGCTATTGCAGGGGAAGTGATAATGGGACTTTAACAAGCACCATAAATCAGTTAAGTGCGAACACGCTTTATTGCCCATAGATTACACGTGCCTTTGTTTGACGAGGGTCAAACTGCAACCCCTTTGCAATTAATTTTCCCTATTAACCCGAAAAAAAAGGAAACTTGATATTCACCTTCAAAAAAAGACTTTGAAAAAATAAAGAAATAAAATAAGCGCATTTATAAAGTCTAAAATTGTATTATTATTATTTTTGCAGTAAATAGTATATTAATACAATAAATGTAACCTTGCAGCCCATAAATGCTCATATATATATATATGCTTGAGAAACGCATTGATTTTTGAGTTCTATGAAATCCAATCACAAACAAGAGCCAGTGTTGTAAGATCTGTCTCGTGAGGCTTGCATGCAGATGACAGAAACGGTCTGAAAGAAAATAAATACTGGTATTTTTTTTTTCTTAAATGCATTTCTGCATTAAAGCGAGCTTGGATAAGAAAGCTTTGACAAACAGCGTTTATATTATAATGACACTCAGACAGCAGCAGAGTCAGTAATGTACAGCCAGCCTGAAACCCTTCAGATTCTGAATATAAAACAGCACATGAAACTCCACCATGAAATGCGTGCGTGTCTCTTGTTGTTGTTTTGGTTTAAAAGTCTAAAAAAAAATTCCTAGAGTAAAAAAAAAACAAAAACACCGTTAACCTTTGAAATATGCAGATTCCGCACTGTAATCACTGCTCTGCTAAGCTTGGGTTTGCTATTTATATGACAGAAGAAGAGCAGAAAAATAAGAGCTTGCTTAAGGGCATGTGTACTAGTGTCCTTTCCATAATTTATAGACATGTGTGTATACATGCACGCATGTCATTGCATACACATGCATAGTATAAGTTTCATCATGCACAGATATAGAGAGAAAATATATTATTATTTATTTAAAAAAATGCATATTTACTTTTTTAGAAACCTGTCTTAAACAGATGAGAACATGCTACAGGTTTCCAGTGAAGCTGCATGGTTTTCTCGCTGTTGCTATTGCAGGGGAAGTGATAATGGGACTTTAACAAGCACCATAAATCAGTTAAGTGTGAACACGCTTTATTGCCCATAGATTACACGTGCCTTTGTTTGACGAGGGTCAAACTGCAACCCCTTTGCAATTAATTTTCCCTATTAACCCGAAAAAAAAGGAAACTTGATATTCACCTTCAAAAAAAGACTTTGAAAAAATAAAGAAATAAAATAAGCGCATTTATAAAGTCTAAAATTGTATTATTATTATTTTTGCAGTAAATAGTATATTAATACAATAAATGTAACCTTGCAGCCCATAAATGCTCATATATATATATAAAAAAAAAAAAAATCTAAAGGAATAAAATGTCAAAAGTGAATGTTTAAATAAGAAGCGAGTAATTGAGCACGCCTAACTTTTTTCTCTACCACATTTCTCAAGATTGAATGTCCTTTCTTAACGTCTGTGTCTCCGTCGTTCAGAAATATTCTCAGTGTCATATCTGCATGATATTCAGCTCTGCGCGTTTCCAGCGGGTTATCAGCAGTGCCATTCCTCCTTCTGTCTGATGTGTTCCTCTGATTGGCATCAGTGCCCTCAGATATTTTCAACAGATCCTCCACTCGCGGCCATCTGGGGCAGATCACAATCACTGGCTTCATCTGAGCCGTTAAAGTATTAAATCCACTATATCCTTTCAACGAGCACAACTTTAGAAGCGCTCGAGCAGCGACCCCATGACAGCGAGTCCCGGACAAATCAAGAGCATGCATTTCATGTCTCGAATTAATTATAATAATAAAAAATGTACATTTTATTTGCAACTTTAATTTAGTTAATAATAATAATAATAATAATAATAATAATAATAATAATAATAATAATAATAATAATAATAATAATAATAATAATAATAATAATAATAATAATAATAATAATAATAATAATAATAATAATAATAATAATAATAATAATAATAAAAGATGCAAAATTTAATCGTTTCGAAAATCACATTTTGTAAACTAATCTGTCAATTTTATCCCGTTTCTGAAAAGTAGCAGCACGTCGCATGTTTATTATACGTTGCATATATTAAGCAAAAAAGACAGTTCATTATTATCAGTGGGAGGTATTTTGGTAAAGATGTGGCAGGATTAGTCAGCTTATTATTGCCGCACACACATTAAATCACAAACTGTTAGACCACAGGCGAAGCCTTTAACTGTCGTGACTATTATCAGTGGTATTAATAATTTTGTTGGTTTGTGGCTAAATGGCGCTCGTGTGCATGCTAATGAAGCGCTCACGATTATTCACGACATCACCTCGTTCAGTATTTAACAATGAAACATAAATACAAAGTCCCCAACGCCCCCACCCCAGTGTGTATGCTTGTAAGTGCCTCTGGGTTATAAGAGTGTGTGTGTGTGTGTGTGTGTGTGAGAGAGAGAGAGAGAGAGAGAGAGGGGAGGAATGAAAGAGAAAGACGTGTTATAATGTTTTAGAGACTGTTTGACACACATTTTCTGCCCTAACTGACAATATCGAGAACAATTAATTAATCTGTTCTACCAAAGAAAAAAAAAGGCATATGCTATAATTCGCATAATTAAAGCCTGTATGATCAGTTAAAAGTCGTTTGGAAGTTCATGCATTAGAAACTGTATTTCTGTCAGTAGCAAAAAAGAATAAAGGGGGAAAAAAATCATGAGGTTTAGAGTATGGAAATGCACATCTTTAATTATTTAAGCTCACTCCAAGAAAACAGTAAAGCAAGTGTTTAATTTGAATAATTCAATTCAGAGCATCATTTTTTTACCAAATGTGTATAATCCCATACACAATATTAGCAATATAAAAAAATAAATAAAAAAAAACGCACCTCGAAAAGAATACAGTTGTTTGATCGTCAATACCTTATGAAGATCAGTCTCATCGCGAGTGTTGCTTTCATTCCCCAGAGTTTATAAGAATTATGAGCCATTCAAATAAGTTCCGCGTGCCTATCAGTTCATTTCCCCAGTGCTGGGCAGCTGTAAAATCGTGTAGACAGGTTGTCACACTACAGTGAATGGATTCTAATGCTAAACATTTAACATACAATCCTCCAAACAGTGCAAAAGCGGCCCTGGCCAATGCACTAACCACATGCGCCAACGAGGAGGAGCCTGGGACGCCAATCAAAGCATCAACTTCAAATTGTATCTGAGAGATCAGCCCAGGACCTAGGGGCAGAGACATCAGTTGGAGCTCAATTGTTGATCTGATCACATCCGACGGACTTGCTGCAAAAGAGAAGCTGAGATTTAAAGACGAGCGTTTCCCATTCTCACTCTGTGCTGCTTGAGAGAGAGAAACTCTTTCACTTCTTGCGTTGGTGGGCTATTTGCTTTTTGCCTTGTTTTGGCTTGCGACGTGGCGAAGGAGATGTCTTTCCCCCAGCTGGGTTACCCGCAGTATTTAAGTGCCTCCCAGGCGGTGTACGGAGGCGATCGGCCGGGAGTGCTGACTCCGTCGTCCCGCGGAGGGAGCGTTGAGATCGGGGGAAGCGCGTCGGCGGCCGCCGCTGCCGTGTCCTCGGTGCTGGGCATGTACCCCTACGGGCACAACTACAGCGCCTTTCTGCCTTACACCAGCGCCGATCTGGCTCTTTTCTCTCAGATGGTAAGAAAAGCAGATGTACTTTCGACTTCTGTTTTTATCCTTTATTGCTTTTATTCTTAATTGATCAGAGAAATAGCCGCACATGCTTGGTTAGTGTAATTTAAGCTTGCACTGTGCATGGGAAGTTTCTCCGCAGATTTTAACATTCAGACTAGGCTATCTTAAAATTACATTATGGATTTGGAACGCATGAAATTCATAATACCTGCAATTTTTTTTTCCGACCGCCATTTCACACCGTAAGCAAAGTTTTATCGCGACTCGGGTTTGGAGTTGCAGAACAGTTGCTCGGGTTTTTCGTGATAAGACTCCTGTGCCAAATTTCTACTTTTTTAAAACATGCTATAATTCTAGTTAAGCTTCATTTTACATTTAATAATTCATTTAAATTGTCTCGATCCAGAATTGTTGATGTTCGCGCAGGAAAACAATGCAAAACGAATTATTGTTTGAAACGGTCCTGCTGGCTCAGAAACTGCTCTACACTTTATTAGGCTACCTCATGCTGTCTCTAAATGATAAAAATAGCAGTGGTTATAAAAGGGGCAAAAATAGTTGTTGTTGAAATGTGATACTTAACAGTAGGAATCCCCTTGCACCCCACCAAAAAAAAAGACAAATATTGAAAGTGAGATTTATTAATAAGCTTTGCCATTCGCTAACCTATAATAAATTAATTTCAAATTGCGTGCATGAATCTCCTTTGCACGGAAAATTAATTAAAATTATATAAGTATAATTTAATTCTTAGGGGGGAAAAAGCGAAATACTTTTCACAGTTCTGCTTTTTCGATGGCCAGGCTATCTATCATTGTAGTACATTTACGTCTTTGTTGTATAACGTTATATAAATAAAAAATAATAGCACTGGTAATAGGCTAAGACCTGTACGTCGCGAGCGAGCCTTACATTAAACATACACTTAATTATACACACATCCGACTCGAAATAATGCGATCACGTTGACTATCCTTGGCCGGGTTTTTTTTTTTTTTTTTCCTAATTTTTCAGAATGTCATTCTAATTAAGTTTGGGATAATATGTAGGCTATTCTGTGCGTTATCACTATCTGTGGCCTAGCTTTTTTACATAATACTGGTCAAAGGTCAAAACAAACGTTAGTTATAAAATATCGATCACTATCTGTGGCCTAGCTTTTTTACATAACAATACTGGTCAAAGGTCAAAACAAACGTTAGTTATAAAATATCGGCGAGGAAAACAATATTCCAAGCACAAAAAAAAAATGTCAAGTTTTCTGGAGGAGACCAGATTGAAATAGGAAGAGATTATTGATAATTTAGCAAGAGAAAGTGAAAGTTCGATATGGAATTTTGGCACAGCGTATTCCCGAATTAATTTGTGCGCGTTGTAGTGTGTAACAAATGCCACGTGGATGATTTTTTCTTGCTTTTTTCTTGTGGATCTCATTGTAGGGCTCTCAGTACGATTTAAAAGACAGCCCTGGCGTAAATGTCGCTATTATTATTAGTATTATTATTATTGCTGTTGTTATGTTTTCCCCTCAATGTCTTGGCATATATATATATATATATATAACACATAATAAAATAAAAACAAATCTGTAGCTTACAATAAATGCTGCGCAAAATTCCAATTCCAGTCAATCTAATTCCAGCGTTGTGTCTTGTTTTTAAATCTCAGATCGGGAAAGCGTCCTCAGAAATGAATCACCAACGCAACCTTTAAAGTCATCCTTTCGTCCTCTTCACGACAGGTACATTTGCATTATATTCTTCTTATTGTTCTTTCTATTTTTTTCTCATTATTAGTATTGTTATTAGCAGCAGCAGCTTGCTATCATCACACGAGATGAAACGCATCGAACGGCTGTTTTTTAAAACCGCTTATCGGAGAAAGACTCTTGGGATAAAGCTATTTCCAGCAGACAGGCAGAGAGAAATCTGCGCTTAGCGAGCGTCCTCAGAAATGAATCACCACCGCAACCTTTAAAGTCATCCTTTCGTCCTCTTCACGACAGGTACATTTGCATTATATTCTTCTTATTGTTCTTTCTATTTTTTTCTCATTATTAGTATTGTTATTAGCAGCAGCAGCTTGCTATCATCACACGAGATGAAACGCATCGAACGGCTGTTTTTTAAAACCGCTTATCGGAGAAAGACTCTTGGGATAAAGCTATTTCCAGCAGACAGGCAGAGAGAAATCTGCGCTTAGCGCTTATAATAAATAGTTGTGCTTTTCCTGGTGACAAAAGGCCACGGTTTCCCCTCCACACACACAGCGGGGGTTTTGGTGACTTGACTTGTGGTTATTTATGTATCTCCTGCGTTAAACACGCGCCAGTGGATGAGCTGGTAAATCGCCATATTGTATTGAAAGTCATCACATAAATATTTTTGTAAATGTTTATGTGGATGGGGAATAATTGATTGCATGGTACGTATATATATAATCGGTTTTCATGTAATTATTATAACTATATTATAACGTGTGGGGAATTTCAATGCGTGGTTAACGTGAAATGACTCGGTTTTTAAAACGTCAGGCTGTTGTTGTGAAGACAGGACATCATCACATCACAGTTATTTCCCTCTGTCTGTCTCCACAGCCCCAGAAACCAGCAGGAATCGACACAGAGGGTCCTCACAGCTCTCTCTTCCGCTTGATCAAGACATTTGCCCCGCATAAAGGACCGATGGCACTCATAAAGGGACAATGCAATCTAAATCAATTCAGCATAGCCTTCAGTTACTCTAAAACAAAAGGCCGAGTTTGATTAGCGCCGCTGGAGTTGTACATAATGACACCTGTGTTCCCTTCCTTGCCGTGGGACACTGGTAGGCTTATTTTGTCTTCATGTGTTGGTGTTTTCCTTTAAGGTGACCCACATTTGTATATAGCGAGTTGACGGAGTTTGTTCAGAATCATATATTTTGTCTAATAAACTAAATGAAATTATAGACACATTCAAAGTATTCTTTTGACGGGTTTTTGTGGGTTGGTTCGTTTTCTGAAGAGGTTTCAGTGAAGTTACAGCATTTATTTTTCTGTTTGTCTTTTGCATTTTATTATTATTATTATTGAATACATCATAACATCATTTCATTATTAATAATCGCCGATAATACTAACGAATGCTATTAAAAGTGAGGGGAAAGCTGTCGGTTGTTTAGTTTGCATGAGGCCCAGAATGGATCTCCAGATATGTTGCGGGAGCGTTCAAATTCAATTGTTAAATGGAGCTGGCTGCAAATGCATTGAGGTGCTAATAAGAGACCAGATGGCTGCTGGCGGCGGAAAATGGACCGAAGCAGCTGGGAATATCATTAAGTAATAATGTGGGAACGCCCTGTGCAAACAAAATCAAATGGTTAAAATCTAATCTGTCAGATGAAAAAAAAAACAAACAAAAAAACTGGATACGATAATAAATGATTAATTAGTTGAGGAGAGTGACATTCAGCTGTGAGGGAGTGTGTGAGCCTTTCAGCGCCATCAGCGTGAGACACTAGCGCTCATATTGTTTACAATTCATAACCTAATAATTACTATTTGTTTCACAATATTGCCGTTTTAAATAGTGGCCAAATGGTAATCCAGTTTCAAATTAAAGTATAAACCGCTGTTAAACGGGATGTGTTATCTTTTTTGAAAGCGAAATTAATTTATTCTCCCGTTAAATAATTCAAATGCAACCACTTAGTCTATAGAAATTAATCAATAAACAAAGACGTAATTAAAAAAAAGTAATATCTACTTAAGTGTGTTCAAATGATGGCTACATACAGCTACACACAAGTGACTCATATCGAATTGATGTGATCGGCCTATGATATTCAGCTGTTTTGACTACATGATTTTACATGGCTTTTTCATATTAAGGCTGTATATATTTTTTTTAAGTTAAACTTGCCCTCTGGATTTCTTGTTCCATCCAAAACTCTATTGATGCAAGAAACAAGAATGTGCCGAATTGCTAATAAATTAAAGCTTGCAGCGACCTCTATAGGTTATTCGAGTCATTACAGCTGGTGTGCATGGGAAAAGACAGGAGAAATTCAGAAAAATCACTTAAATTTGTTTTCCCCTGAAAGTACAGACAGCATTTCAGATGAGAAAATAATATAACATCTGAATCTGAAACAGCCATTTTAAATACTGAATAGTTTTGCACTATTATATAGCATATATTAAAGCTTGCAGCGACCTCTATAGCTTGGTAGAGTCATTACAGCTGCTAAACATGGAACAAGACAGGAGAAATTCATAACATCACTTAACATTTTCCCCATGAAACTACAGACAGCATTTCAGATGAGAAAATGATCTAATATTTGAATCTACTGCCCTTTGAAATACTGAAGAGTTGACCAATATATATAATAAGCTATTCTAAGTACATTGTCAAATCATAAGGCCCGTTTGCGTAATTCATGCACTCAAATAAATAATCCGTGTTTTACATTTCAGTCCACAAAATTGAAACATCCAACAATAATAGTAAGACTAAATTAAAACAGTTTGAAAACTTCAAAGCATTCAAAGAGGGTTTTATGCCACTTGAAAATCGAAACTCGGATGTGTTTTGTGAGTAAAAAAAAAAGTAAAGTATTTATTTATTTTATATTAGTAGCATTAAACAACCTAAAAATAATAACGAAAAACATGATAATATGACATGTTTTAGTTTATTTTCGGCATTATTTAGCAGTGAATAAATACATCGCAGAATATACTTATGCTCTGTATCTATCGTTATTATTATTATTATTAAAACGCTCGACTAACAGTTTTGAATGAATTATCATATTTCCCCTATTTTAAAGGAAAAAAAACACTGCGCACATAAAAATGTTAACCAGAATCTAGCTTAAACAATTTGTAATTGTATGCTAATAGGTTACTACTACTACTACTAATAATAATAATAATAATCATAATCATAATAATAATACTAATAATTATCCCTTGTAAAAAGGGATCGAGATTAAATCAGTGCAGGTGCGCTCTCCTCGTTATTTCGTCTTCATCTCGTTTCGTAGCTCGGTGTGGTTGAAATGTAATAAGCTCCCGGTGTTTCATTTCTATCTTTTGTCCTGAACTAGCATGGGGTTCGAGCTGGAGGCCATCGGGCCGGGATTCGCTAATGTGCACGCAATTACTCATTACAGTCACTCATCTAACGAGAAATAAACGGGGCTGGAACCCATAATTACTCGGACACTTCCAGCTCCTCTCACACCCGCCCCGGGCGATAAACCACAGCCAAAAAACACCTAACAGAATAAAGCCAAATGCAAGCGCGGGAGGGCTGGGAATATAGAGGAAAATCACAATAATCGTTTAAATCATTATCATAATCTTATTTGAAAGACACGGATAATGGTGTGCGCTGTGGTGACATAAAAGCCATGCAGCCGATAGGAATAATACATAATGCAGAGCACTGTATCCTTGCACAGAAACTGTTGCTCCAGTATAGTGTGAGTGATTCTCTCCCATGATGCCTGTGTCTCTGTCACAGTGTAACAGAGAGGAAAGTTTATCACTGCCCTGTCTTTTTGGCAGAAACAGGTCATTGGTTGCTACAGCACAAACGCCCCCTTCATCCACCCCCACCATCAGCACCGCCCCACGCTGTTGTCTTTTTGAAGATGCCGCCAGTATCTCTGAAGAACTAATCCATTTATCTAGTTTCATGAGTGCACTGGGTGAATACCTTCAACAATGGCTGGGCCCTGCTGGGAGCTGAGAGTCGGGGAGTCCAGGAGTCACTCACGTCCACACTTGCCAGACACCATGTTATGGTTTGACTACTGCGCTGTAGTCAAAAAAACAACAACAATAGAGTGTGAATGGGACGGATACCTTGGTCATCGTCTTTTCATCCCAGGAGCGATGGGCTGCTGTTGAACATGCCACCGGATGAGGCTGGGACTCTTTGTGCAATACATTTTTTTTTTCATGGTAGTAATGAATATTCACTTTTAAATTATCCACCATGTATTTAAAATATAAATAAAACTGCAGAAAAAACAAATTATATATAGAGAGAGAGAGAGAGAGAGAGAGAGAGAGAGAGAGCACAAATAGCATCAAGGGACAACTGCTAGTGAAGACTGCTATGGCTTTTATAATCACTGCTGCAGTGAAAACCCAGATACATACTTCTTCCAATCATCTGGAAAATTGTTGGCGGTGACAGATTTACATTTGACAATTGTGAGCTTTTCAGTAGACTCTATAAATAATGTACACTGGGAAAACAAATGGTGTAATATTTACTTTAAAACAAATTTTATTCAGAAATTGCCAGTAATTTTTTACAAAGAAACGACTAGTAACACTGAATTAAATATAAAAAATTTAAAGTAGAAAGGCTGAAATAGTATTTTCTTTTAAAACATATTCTATATATTTTTTTTTTTCAATTAGAAACTTTTATAGTTAGGCTATATAATATGTTGTATATAATATTTTTTGTATTATATAATTTAGTTTAAACAGTGTTTTGTGTATTTATTTAAATATGTTACATATATAAATAATGATGATGACAATAACAATAATAATAATAATACAAAATGTAACAACCACCAATAATAATAAAGTATTATTATTATTATTATTATTATTATGATTATTATTATTATTATTATTAATAAATACTATGAATATAGATGAGGAAAAAATTACAATGCAGTTGGATTTCTTGGCATTTTTTGAAAAATTCCAGAAAAATCAAACCGTTCTAGAAGTAGTTTGAGATAAATTGTAGATATAAAACCTTTGATGCATGAATTATAAAATCACAAAGAGG